TATAAGTCCCTTATTATGGGTTATAAGTAGGGTAACTATAACTTTTAGGGGACTTATAACCCTACTTATAACTACCCATGAACCTCCAAGTAGGCCTAATCCTAGCCCCATCTTGGCCCCAGCCCGCGTTCAGCTTGGGACGCATGCTGCGGTAGGTGCTAAGCCTGTCAGGAGATCCGTCAGGTCAACAACGAGCGCAGCAGACACTTGAAGACATTCTCAGGTGGTGCTGTGCTTGTGAAGATGCTGATAGGCAGTCCGAAAATACATGGGTTCGCTTTACAAAAGCAGGCATGAGAGCATAGATCTGGCTGTTGTTCAAGCCTTGCTGAGTGCAGAGACAGCCTCCACATTCTGTGTACTGAACCTGGTTTTTTCTCGATTTCACGATTTGTGCTTGTAGTCTTTTCCAATAAGACGACCATGAACAAGCACAGTGACAATGTGCAGCAGCGCGTGTTGCAGCTGCATGCTCTCACCAGGAAAGCGCCGAGAACTACGCATCTTTCTCCAAACAAAGCACGCACCTACAGAGTCTCTCGGCAAAGCCAGCAGGCATTGCGGGCGTTGGTGATCCGACTGAGGCACTCGTATAGTGACCGCGTGTGCCAATCTTTCGGAAGTGTTTGCAACCAGGTTGGTTTTAAAAGTCATGAGCTATGCCGATTACAAGATGGCCCGGCACTCCCCGACTCCTGAATGCAAGACGGCCATGTGGCCGTGTGCCGCTGCACACCCGGTCAGCGAGGCTTAGAGAGGGCATTCTCTTGCATTTGCGCGTTCAGTTGTATTGGTTGGAGCAACTCACGCCTGCGGTTTGCATGTAGCTGCAACTCGGCAACGATGTATCAAGGATTGCATTTGATGAGACTCTGATTTCGCAAAAGCTGGAAGCAGAACTAGCCAATTTTCAGCATGGAGGCCACGATCCCAGTGTCACTGTGGCAGTGCAGCATACTGACTTGACGTGGCATGTTGTACATGGTGCAGTAGCTTAAGATTACCTTCGAGAGCACCCGATCTTCTGGCTGCTGGATACACTGTTCCCGCCGCTGGAAAGCAAGCATGTCGGAGTGTCTCAGCTCGTTGAACATGGTGTCATGGCCCGCAGAAAGATCTCGATAGTTGTTCTAATGTTGCGTAACTCGCGACTATCCGCGGACTTGCCAGTGGATACCGGCTCGGACGTCAGATCTCTTGCTGTTGAGGCTAGTGTTCAACGACCTCTGCAGCACCCTGGAGAAGCAACTGTTCTGCGAGGAACCCACTGCCATCCCTGCGGTATTTTCTGTTGGGAAGTGGGTCCAAGATACGTTGTTGGCAGGGGGAGGCGGTCTTTCGACATGGGACGCTGGCCGAAATGATGCCCCCTTGAAAGCATTGCGCTCTTGAGCGGAAAGAATGGTGAAGCTTCACATGCCAAAGCAATCGACTCTAAGGTATATAAGCAGCCACGGGGATTTCCGAATCTGTGCTCCGGCTGGTCGAGAGTCTTCGCATTTTGTTCACCCTGCTGTTCGTCTGTATGCGCAGTGGAGTGCTGTTATCCACTGGTGATTCAGCAGTAGCAGTAGCAGGCACAGATGCACAAGCTACGAAGAAGTTCTCCGGCCCCCACTACTACTTCGCAGAGGCCAAAGCGCATGCTGTCTTGAAATGAACCCGGAAGTTCAAGCAGGGAAGCGGTACCAATGTGTGTGAGGAGTTTTGCTGCTATAGATTTTTACATTGATGGCCAAGTGGGGGGCGAGGGGCATGTTGTTTGGCATAGAATTGACGACGACTTTTTTTCGGTACCTGTGCACGGTTTTGACGAGGCCCGTGCGCGAGAGATGCAAACAGAGGAGTTGGATGCACATCAGAATTCACAGCACTGGCTTTGCTTACTTTCGCAGGTGGCCCTGTACGTCGAAGCATCGATGCACGACTGCACCTTGTTGGCCGAGTCCTTCACTGAGGTCCGGGCCTCAGCCAGTGTGTGGACCCATGCTAGTTTCGTGTTCCTGTTTCGGCTTAAGACGGGATTTGTGCTTCAGGCATCATTACCTTCGGATCGGCTTCTGTAGCCTGTGTGATTCCCACCAAGCTTGCAGCCAGAAGTCTTGCGCGATGGCTTTGCCAAGGTCTTCGTCCTGACAAGTACGAAGTTGGCGACGGTGTTGAGCCATGGCTATCAGAAGCCTCTGAGAACTGGTCGGCTTGATAGTGGGATCTTTGAAGTTTGGCTGTGAGAGTCAACGCCACATGAGGGCCAACTCCCCGGTATGCGCGGCAATGTACATTGAGTATGCGAATGAGCCGCTCGGATCTGCACTGCCAGAAAAGACCGGGACGGTGGGCTGAAGGCTGGCTTCGGGGTGTGGCTGCGGGAGACTGTAAACCCACAAAATGTGATGGGCCACGCGCATCGGTTGCGTCTCTTTCGGAGTGAAGCGAAGGGCGAAGCAAATGGCGCACCAATGAGTTAATGGCTGCTCTTCTAGGAGGCACTTCAGCGAAAACAGGTAAACCGGCAAACCTGTCGGCTACCGCAAGGAAACTATCGTGGGTGTCCTCAGATGCATTCGGAACTGTTCGGGAACCCGTTGATTCTTGAGGTATATCTCGCACTTCGTGGTGATGTCACCAGATGCTGAAGTGGAAGAAATCATGGAAGCGCATCTGCAGAATGCCGAGAACTCATGCGAGAATAATTCTTTCTACTTGGACATGTACGTCGACGAGCGCTCCTCATCATGCAGAGAGGTGGCGTCCGATGGTACGGAACCTGTGGTGTTAGGATCCAGAGCGTTCAATACATGCATCTGCTGATCGTTTCCCAGCCGTCGTCTGCGTACTGTGGTGTGTCTTCCAAGGAAAGCAGCTGAGCAGCATGCAACTTGCTCCTCATCGATCTGAGCCGCAGATCAGGTTGTGTCTCTGCTGCAGTGTGGAGTGGTATGGATAACATCCCACCCCACGATAAGATGGTGTACATGATCGCAGCGTGTGCGATGACCACTTGCTTCTCGGGTGCACTCCTCCGAGAGAAAGAGAGAGTGTCTCTCGTTTTCTCTCGCACTATACACTACGTAGCAGAATTGTACATGTACTCATGCTTGCTTGCCTTCGGACTCAACATTTTGCGTACCTTGCTCTTGTGCTCTTGAGGAGTTTCCGAAAATCGGAATCCGCGAGCTCTTTGGGATCTGCAGGCAACATCGCGATGGTCCAAAGAGTCCAGCGCAAGACTTCTAGCTGCTGCGCTGTGCATGCAATGCGTTTCACGGCAGCTCTGGTTCCTAGTCGCTTGCTGCAGATGTGGCGGTTATGACGCGGACGAAGTCTTTCCACCATCGCGCCCGGACAACGAAATCGCAGCGCCGACATGAGGATGAACATGTCAGGCACATAAGTCCCAAAGAATTTGTTGCCAAAGTCTTTGAGACCGACCTACCGAAGCTTGGATGACCAAGACCCAGTTATTGTCCGAAGCTGTGACCCTACCTTAGATCCGAAACTGTGCAAGGACAATTACTTTGGTCAACGAACTCCGTGATGCCTTTGTGGAGCTGGATCCGGATGATGGTCTCCATGCCAGGCGGAGAGTGCCCGCAAAACGCAGCGTTTTGCACCGGCCTGTTTGGTGACTCGGAGACTTTGTTGGCAGTCTCCGTGAAAGCAAGCCCTGGCAAGGTTTTCGGATTCGAAGGAACAGGACGCGGACTTCTCTGTACTGCCGAAGTTCCGGTCATGGTTGGTGCGCGAGCTAAGCCAAGTCCCCCACCGTTCCCCCTCAACAGAAGTGCAGCGAAGCTCAGGGTCTCTCAACGCGCAAATGAGCAGATGTGGTTTCTGTTGCTCCTGACAATGCTTTTTTGCAGCGACATCAGATTCGCCTGTGGCATGGGAGGGACGATCGGTCTTAGGTCTGGCGTCAATTGACCCTAAGTCAGAGGCAGTAGTTATTTTTGCAAAACTATGTGCCCGCACATGCTTTTGCATGCGCAGCTACATGGAATCCTGGAATGGATTGATCGAGTCTCTCACCTTTAGCCTGTATCTCTGTAGTTCTTCTTTCGGTCTCTGCTCTCTTGCTAGGGGCCACGCGGCTGACAGACCTCTGAGTCCGTGACAGAGAGAGAGAGAGAGAGCGAGCTACATTCGCAAGTGTAGGCAGATCACTGACCTCCAAAATCGTCCTGTCGTGCTAGTTAGTTGCACATACTCTTTCGCGGGCAAGTATGCCTGGGCAGGAGCGAGCAGAGTCTGCGATTTTGAGTCTGATTGCCTTAGTTCGCGGCAACTACGAGGCAACTCCTTGCTTAAGTTTGCATACTTGTGCGGCTGCTAATGGCCATGATGGGGAGAATGAAGGCATACACGGCGCCACAGAAGCCGGCAGCGCGCCTAACACCGGGACAATGGCAGCACCTTCAAAGTGTGGTGGCATGGGCCGCACCAGATCGGGAGCGACTTGGCCTTCATGACCTGCTATAACAGTAGCAGAGTAACATGTGTAGACTTATGTATACTGTATATAGAGTGGTGCCACTGTAAGTCTGTGCCTAGCATTTAGAATTTGAGGAAGCTCTTGGCCGCTATCCTTCTGCTGGCTGTGAGGGGCATCGGCAAGTGCAGGCACGTACTGCACGGCCTTGATGCTGCCGGTTCGCTTGGTCTTGCGAAATATGCTTTGAGAGCCCCACTGTGGCAATTCTTGTTGTGGCGGAGACAATGCAGGTCAGTCACACATCAGCTGCCTCCGCAGCACCAGCGACCAGACCAGGCAGTGTTGTTCATCCTAGCTCCTCGGCTGTACGGGGCCGCTCACGTGTACTTAGTTCTCTACTCTGGTATTCAAGCTGGCCTCCATGTCCGGTCGCCGGTGCTGGATTGCTGTCTGTGCGTGTTTTTGTGCGTATTTCCACTGCGGTAGCTTCGTCTGCCGAGGACCATTTCCCCGATGCTGTCCCATCCATATACAGCGTCGCGCAGGATGTCAGACATCTCTTGTGCCCCATCTGCATATCACACGGTGGACGGGAAAGGCTAGCGATCGGCTCGTCATGCAGCGATGTAGGCACTGATCCGTTTCTTGTTTCTCTCCGCAGCAGGGACGACACACTGGAGCTGCAGCAGAATTTCATATTCGCGCAGATGCTGCAAGGTGAGAATGCATCTCGGCTGGACTCGGCATTCGGCGGACTCGGAAAACATGTTGAAGGGTACATCATGTTAAAGTAGGTCGGTGCAGTCGGTGCAGTTACGTTCCTTGGCATGCGCAGTAATGGTTTGGGCATACAGCTGTTGCGATCTGATTCTCTCTGCCCTGGTTGTCGGACTCGTCGACTTCGTAGGCCGCATGGCATTTCCCGCCGGGGCCAAGCTTCAGTGACAAGCTTTGTTGCTCCTGTCTGTCCGTGGGTGCGTTGTGGTGTTTGTCGTGCATTCCAGGTTCCAGCCAACTTGGTGCAGCTCAAGGATTTCATAAATCAGAGAAGCGGCAGCTCAGCTTCACATGAAGCATGCTGAAATGGATCCAGGGCGATTGAGCTTGTTTTCAAGGCGAAGAAACTCTGAAGTTCTATGCAGCTTTTCTGCACAATGTCAGATGGCAGCAGTGTGCAGCGTGAAGCCTCCGTGAGACCTGTGAGGTGATTTTCCTCTTGGGCTTTTTGTCCGGCCTAGCTGGGGGCCAGGGCTCACGCTTCATGACCCACAACAATGCCAAGACCACTATCCTTGGCTTGTCGATTATGAAGCAGGTCTTGTCGAAGGCCCGATGCAAGCCTGGAGTGCCCCCAACAAGACTAAATTTAATTCCAGAGCTCTGAAGGATCCGACAGCAATCTACTGGACTTATATCAACAATCGTGGAGTGGAGCTGGGGAGACACGCCAAGAGCACAGAAGACCTCGCGGTGTTGCGACTTGCATGTCCCTCGGCTCCTGGAAGAAGATCGATGCCGGTTTGTGAGCGACACTAGCTCCAACACTCAAGATTGAGTGGCGGGCCGTGACTGAAACGAGGCTTGTGCCGTGCTCAAACGGATAAGGAGTCGGAAGCTGTGTCTTGTCGCATGAAACTTGTTGGGCTTGCCCGTTCGGCTTCATGCTTTCAGCTCTTGGTGGCCCTGGTCTTCGCAGGACCTCAGTGAGCTTCAGAGCTCGTGGGATCAGCTCAGCAAGACTGACAGGAAGGAGATGGTCAAGCACTTTTTGGCAGACGGTATTGTCTTCCGTGCAGTCGTCCTAGAGCTACCTGGTTTTGCAATGCTGTCGATAGTTTTTTCTAGTCGTGTGACTGCTTCAGCAAACCTCGGCATGTCTGTAGCGCGGTAGCATGGAAACGTGAGGTTTCTGCCCTTGTGCTTGGAGCGTGCCAAGAAGAATGCCTAAGCCCCAGATGCATGCTTGTTCCTGACATGCCCTCTTGAAGCTGGCTCTTCGCAGTTTTGTCTCCGTTTGTGGATTCGGCAGGCATTTGTTACAGTCCCAACATTGCTCGAGGCAGCACCGGTTGCATGTTTGGGTCTGTGGAGCTCTTGCAGCCTTCCCTGGATAGACGCTGAACAGGTGTTGGTGGAGCTGTTGCGCGCTGTGCGTGCCACCGTTACTGGAGCAGGCTGTGAGTCAGGGCAAGAAAGACGCGTAAAGAAGGACAGAGCTTCCCCACATGAATCACTCAAGATTGAACCGGTTGGCCCCGCTCAGGGCAGATCGTATCTGTCGATCTTGCCGATTTTGCGGCTTTCATCCTGATGGTGCAAAACGGAGTCTTGGCACATAACCCCGGCCGAACACGACGAAGTCCCACGAGGGGTGGGTCGAAAGAGGATGAGTTTCAACAGAATCTTGAAGACAGACCTTGACCATTGCGTTGGCAAAGCCCAGGCTTTGTTTTCCAGACTTGCCTGTCCCGTTCCAAACTTCAAGTTAAAGAATCTTGTATGCATCTGGACCACTTGGAGATTTGCACTTCGATGATATGATCCGTGGTGCAGAAGCATCACAGCTGTAACAGATCCTAAGGAGAGCCGCTGTACTTTGGAAATGACGCAGGAAAACTGGCGAAGAGCGACTCAGCTCTTCGTGAACACTCCTTGTGCAGATGGCCCAAATGAGTTCTGATGTCCGCAACTTCAACCCAGTTGCTGCAGAGGTCAGCGAGCCTCATACAGATGTCGTTCTGCTCGCCAACTCGGTCAGAGACCTCGTGCAGACACGAAAGCGAGAGAAGGCCGAGAAGGACCGGAGCATTAGGAAACTAGGACCATAGCTCAAGTATGCTCAAGACTGTTTCGTGTGCCAGGAGGATTCCGTGGAACCCTTGGCCCTGGCGCCAGCCGTAATGAGCTGCACCTCGCTGGAGTTTCTGGCTCTGGGCAGTCTCTCCATCCTGGGTTTGGGGCAGTATCTGCAGCCGAGGCCGCTTTTAGTCGACGTCGTGCGTACACTGGAAGGCTCAAGAAGTGATTTGGGACGTGGCTTGTGCACAAAGTTTCTGTAAAAATTGGGTGTTACACGGTGTATGTTAAACATACCCCGCCTGTCCTCGTGATGCATTGTACAGCTCCTGCACGAATCTGCGTGCTGTCTCTTCCAGACCAGAAGGTTTGGCTCCTCCCTGGCAGGTCAGCAAGTCATCTTCTCTGCGTTTTCCTCTTGGCACATGTAACTCATCGGAGGCTTGTCCGGCTGCCGAGTACCGTAGAAAACTTGACGCCGAAGGCGTTCAGAGACCGAGAAGTACGAATTAGCTCGGCGCAGAAGTCATCAAGAGGGCTCCGATGTCGGAGTCGTGCGGGACATGATCTCGAGCCGTCCATCGGTGAGCACGCCGGCATGCAGTGTGTGGCTCAACTAGAGGGGGCAGCAGGTGGACAAAAGTCGCAGGGGTCAGCAGATGTCAGCAGCATGGAATCAAAAGAATTATTGCCCACGGTAGCGCGAGTCATTTTGCAAGCATCTGAAACATGTAGCAGTAGCAGCACGGTGAGTCTTCAGTGGGTGTCGTCCGGGGTGACAGACGGAGCTGTTGCCATGGCAGCAGAAGGGATTCAGTCCGTGCTGTCGACGCGTGGCACCCTGAGGAAAGCGTGAAAACCGGTGCGGTCTGTAGTTGCAGCGATCAGTGGAATAACAGCAGCACCATTCTTGAATCGATGGTTTCGGACGTCTCGACTTCAGGCTTTGCGGAAGCAGAAGGCGAGCTGCGGAAGTCCTTGGATCAGATCCAGCTCCAGGTCGCCCAGTGAGAGAGTCTCAGTAAACTCCGGCTCCGGGAGTGCAAAAGCAAAGGGAGAAAGAAAGAAGCAACGCCGCCATGTAGGCCAGGGATTTTCAGGACTCGTGACTGTCCGGTAGGGGCGAACTCCCACACCCGAAGCAAGAAAGGAAGTAAGAGCGCGAGACGGAAACAGAGCGTCTCCTGTGTAGTCTGTGCCTTTCAAAAGGCCCAAAAGTCCGGTGCAGTTTGAGGTTTGGTGTTCAGCTACACGTCCATGAATCTCCGGAACTTAGACTTTGCTCTTTGCTTTTCCACCCTTTTGCTGCTTTTGTGTTCTACTGATTCCATTCAGCTGAGATCCCTTTGCGTTGTTGGTTGCTTTGACGCTTTTCGCTGCTTGCCGTGGCTTCATCTGCTTACGTTTTACTTTCTGCTTACTGCCATCGGCTGTTGTTGCTTTGTTTAGCCTTGTGTTTGTAACTTAGGGCGGGAGCTTCCCCCCTCGCCAACCCCCAGCCACTTGTTTGTAACCTTGACAAAGTGTGTCGAAGGATTTGAACGTCTCCGATGTGCCTCCACAACCGTGTGTCTTGCAGGGGCTCCTTTGGCCCAATTTGCTTCAGGCAGTTACAGTGTTTGTAGTCCGAGCCATCTTCGAAGGCAACTACGGAACTTGTCAGGGAATCATTTCCCCCGATCGGATTCTGTGTGCAGTCAAGGCTGTCGACCAGGGTGAGCCGCGAAGGGACAGAGCACAGAGGGCGAAGCGCGGTGCGGGTTTCGACGAGGTTCAGAAGCGGGGCTCTCCCCAAGCATGCCCTGCACACCGCGCGTGGAGAAACACCGGAAGCAAAACAGCTAGGAGAAATTGGGGCCTAGATTGTTGTGTGAAGCGGTGGGATGGTACCCACATGGAGCAAGGAGGGACAACTGACAGCGGACACGTTTTGCCGGCACCCTGCTCCGGCAGGGATGTCGACCGCTCTTTGTGTCTCTAGTACATGTTCAACTTTTATTAAGCCCCACCGTGTCCCAGAGTAGTAGGCTATTTGGGAAAGAAACCTTCACGCCGTCTGCGGCAGTGGGACCCAGTGGGCCGCGCGAATGGCAGGGAACTCTGTGCAGAAGAGGAAGTTCGTGAGACTCGTAGGCAACCGCCTGCAGGTGCAGCAGCTCCAGAGTGGCATCGAGTCGGACCTTCTTCGGCTCCACGAGAGTCCGTCCGAGGAGCTGCAGGCGCGTGCGCGTGGCATCACGGCACCACAGTCAGAAGCATAGCAATGGCAGGTAGCAAATGCAGCAGTGAACGCCTAACTGCTCTTTGTGTCACGAAAGCTGAATACGTCGTCGCGTCGTGTTCGTACTGCCGCATGTTCGACACAATCGCACATTCTGCTTGCATCGCGAAGCTCCGGTCCAGGACTCGTCTGCAAACCATGGCAACGAGTCGAACGAAATAAACGGTTTTAGCGGTGAAGAACTAGCGGATACCTGGCTTCTCGAAGACGACGTCCAGCAGCTACCAGGCGAAGAAGGCTTTGGAAAGGTGCTTCCTGTGGGAGCTTTGGTTTTGCAGCAGACGGCCGAGATTCAGAATGGGAGGTCGGCGAAATTGAATCTGCGCCTGAACCACCATCTCATGGAACTTTCCATGAAAGCTGGAGAGGCCGTTGGAAACTCCGGGAGGGAACGATGGAGGAATGCACTCGAGATCACTCGCACAAGGTCTTCGACAAAGACTTACAGTAGTGAGTTCGAGCGGTGTGAGTCTTGCACCATCATCCCTCCCAATTCCAAGTTTCGGATTGCTTGGGACATGGCGAGTGCCGGCATGATCCTGATGGACGCCTTCCTCCTCCCCATATGCCTAGCGTGGAACCTCACGCTGACGCCTTTTCCAACTCCCAATGTTGCCACCCACGTTGGCCTGCATGTCTTTGCATCGGTTTCTTTAGTTTTCTGGCCGATTGAAGCTCGGAGCAGCACTTATGACTTTTGCCTTACGACTTCTACATTTGGGCGGTGTCAACATTGTAGTCTCGTGGCGGTCGTCGTGAGAGCAAGCAACTGACCTGAGGACATTTATTTGAGTTTTACCACTGGCTTCTTCGTGCAAGGCGTCCTTCAGACAGCGCGTTCCGACCCTTGCTCGAAAGTCTGTAGCTGCAGCCTGATTCGTATCGGACATGAACTGATGTGTCAAGGCGATCGCCTCGCGGTACCTGCACACATGGTTCATCTTTGACCTTGGCCTGGTGGCGATCGACGTTTCGGCCGGGTTCATGATGCTACTCGAGGAGGCAGGAGTTCGGCACAAGGTCGCAAACACCTTGGCGATACTGGACGCATACCGTTTGACCTCAGACTTTACTTCTGCACAGGAGAACCAGTCTCAAGAATTTCTGCAATCCCTTCGCTCAGCCCGGTATCTTCGTCTGTTGCGAGACTTGGCCGCGCCATTACATAGCATTCGGGCGTTCAGACTGCCGAATTTGGGCAAACCAGGCGCAGTGCATCATTCATGACCCGATGGCTCAGCAGAGAACCGAGGAACGCTTCGCATTCTCCGGCTGTTGAAGGCCGGAAAGATCAACTTGTTGCTGGAGAACCTCGTGGTTTGCTCAGACGGTGTCAATCATCCAGCACTGCCCTGCGAAATCGAAGCACTGAGGTGATCTCTACTGGCCGCCAGTGGCTCATCCTTGCCTTCACAGTTGGGCGCATGTTGCTGGCCATTGGGATGATTGCCCACATTATGGCCTGCATCTGGTATGGCCTCGGGAAGGCACTGTTTTTGATGCCAGCCGGTCAGTAATCAAATGTGACGGGGAGCTTCAGCCTGAGATGTCGATAAAGAAGGAGACGGGGAAAGGACCTGGTCTAGGTGCCAAGAGGGACAGTCTCCGCAGTGAGTGCGCATGGTCTTATCACACACTCCAACCGGCAGCGGAACTCCTATTCCCCCCTTGATTCCAACTCGCCGGCGGAGAGTAACTCCGGTCCCATTCCGGCACTCCATCTTTGCAGGCGGTTTCCGAGACGAGTGACCTCGACAGTTGGACACTCGGCATGCGCAGAGCTTCGGAAGAAACCCCGCGAAGCACTTGCCGGAGCTGTTACAAAGGCAGCCGCATGTCATGTGCACAGACGAAAAGCCTCTGACTGCACTTCGTTGTCAGCATGCCTTCGAGTTCTGAGGATCGAGCTGGCTTTAATCACGAACTCTACCGGGTACGTGCAGTATGTCCATTCCATCGGATGGATTCTGTTGCCTCCAGCGCCGCCCACACTGGAACCAGACTCTTGGCAAGGATGCACTCCAAATCGCGCCCGAATTGGCAGCCGTACCTCTGGCATCATGAGCATTGCACTCAAAACAGTGCTGCACATCTCTCGATTTGCACAAGCAGCGAAACCGTCCAGGACAGTGGCTTAGAGCACTTTGTTTCCCTGATGCTTTTTGTGACGACAGCCCCAAGGCTGCACCTGCTGGATGAAGTGCAGATCGTAGAAGGCGTGTGCTGAACATGCCTTGTAAAGAGACAGTTCTCGAGCCAAGGTTTTGGTGATTGGATCTGCGCTGTCCATCTTGACCGGAACTCTCCAAGAGATTCGCCAGGTTAACAACGAACGCAGCAGAGCCTGGATCTGCAATTGGCCGCTGCTTACTCACGACTCAGGTTTTCCTGCAAACAACAGGCATTCTTGCTTGTCACAGTCTTTTTCCATGGGTCTCACAGAACCCGCTTGCGACAACACATCGATGACGCGGGATCTTGCAGGAAAGCGCCGCGAGTTGCGCATTTTTCTCCAGACCAAATCCGTCCCAACAGAGCTGCGTGGCATATGGAAGCATCTTTTTTTGTACTGAGCTCTCGTAGTGCACCACGATTCGATTGCAAGGCACTGACGAAGCCAGAATTCTTGGGGAAGCTGTGGTTTCGAGTCGACCTTCAAAGTCTCCAGTTGTAGCGCTGTGCCAACTTGTCTCCTGCAGGTTCACGCCTGTTCTCAGAACACCACATCCCTACAAGCAAAGAACAGCCCGTCTCCTCCCAGAGGCCTTTAGGCCTTCCTGAAGGCACCTAAACGGTGGCCGTGACGATTCGAGATGGACTGTTGCATGCAATAGCCGACAGGTGAGAATGCATGCAGGATCAACTCCGTGACCGATTCTTATGTAGCGTTTTAAGGTGCTTCATGGTGTCTATCTATCTGCCCCCCCCGGCGTAGTGGGGTGTGGGCAGGCAGATCGAATCCCAACCTTTGCATGCCTGGTGCCGGGTTGTGCCTTATCAGGCTTCTCATGCGCATCATGAGCTATGCAGACTACAAGATGGCGCGGCAGTCTCCGAAGCAGTGCTGCAAGAGAACTTCAAGTGCAGCGTGGTGAGCCCGAGTGCTGTCTCGGGCTTCGAGGATTGTGTATGACAGCGCCCTCATCTCGCCGATGTTGCAAGCAGAGCTTGCCACCTTCCAATTCGGAAGCCGCTTGTCGTGAAGGCGAGCCAAGGCTGATTTTCGCGTTGGGGCTCTGTGTGTCAGGCAACCTGACCGAGCATCCTTTCTTCTCGCTCACAGCCAGCATCTTCCCGCAGCTTGGCTCATACTGGACGTGCAAAACTTGCTCTTGTTTCAGGCTTGCACCTCGCACGATGATTGAATCTTTGGTGGCACAGGACAATCTTCGCGGACTTCTGCAGCGCATTGCAGAAACGTTTCTACAGCGAGGAAGGGAAAGTACTACTCGTACCGAATACTGCCGACCACTTGCTGTCAAAGTAGTCTCACCGACGATTGGCAGGCTGAGTCCGTCTTCAGTATGGGCTCAATCGCTGAGATGATGTACGTCACAAGCCATGGCGAGTATGCCTTAGGCCAGGCACCGCGGTCGAAGTCTGACTGCGCATTGAAGTGGCGCCGCAACCACGGCAACCACGGCAACCGGTAACTAGCTCATCTGCCGACAATCCCACTGACAGGTGTCGACGAAGGCAGCAAGCAAGTGGTCCGTTTCTCGGGTGCCCACCGCTACTTCGCGGAGGCCATGGAAGTAATGAATGTAACCATGAAGGGTCCAGAGCCGGCAAGTCTCCATGCCCTGCTCTGCCTGGCATGCTCTACCTGTGCTCAGTGTGTGCGAGGTCGCACTTTATGCAGAAGCTGTGATGCACGTGTGTACTCTCACCGCAGGGGCCTCAAAAGAGCTAATGGCCATACCGAGCCACAGGGGCCTCATCACTGGATTTGTTGCTGCTCCTGCCGATACTTGCGGCACGAGCAGTACCGGGCGTACATGTGGAAATTGAAGGCCGAAGGATCGAGCCTCATCAGGTTCGGAAGCGCCAGAGTACTAGATTCGACTGTGAATTCGGTGTTGGGTTCCCGGTCACCAAATACCCCTGGCGCTACTTCATTTGGGAAACAAAAGCAGATCTTGGGATGAGGATGCTTGGGCCAGGGCCGGGCGAAGTATGGTTGGAGCGCCACATGTGTTTTCATCATGGGTGCGCTGCTTCCACTAGCAGCTTAGCAGTAGCATGTCTACTGAGTCATTCTACTGCCTGTTACACTGCACGACGACGTTGAGTCATTGAGGGACCAAACAGGCGTGAGTCGCAAGCTCTCAGGCTGAGTCCTTCGCTGAAGCTGCGCTCTCAGTCTCAGCCGGGCTGTGAGAGGCGGTCTGCGAGACCCGTGGAGGGTGCTGGTGTCACTTCGCAATCCTCAGGTTTTTGTGCTTTCTTCAACCTCACTGGCGAGTCTGCTGCGCCTTTGCAGCAAGCTGAAAAAACTCGCTTCCCGTCTTTTGGACGTTACGTACACGTTTAGAGAGACTGCCAGATCTTCAGGGCCAACTCGCCAATGTGTACGACCATGTTTATCGAGTATGCCAACGAGCATCCTGGCCGAGGGGTGCTCGCATGTCGAAGCACCTGACGACCTTTACAGCTTCACACGCCTGTGTTCCTGAGTTGGCAGCAGTCCAATGGAGCTTGCTGAGGTACATTTCGCAATATGCCGAAGCAACTCGGGAGCTGTGGGTTTCGGATATCCTGGACCTTGACATTGGATGTGCTCAGAGAGCATGCCATGTCAACTCGTTCCGCGGCTGTCATAGTTGCAGGACATGTTTAGGGTTCCGTCGCTGCAGCTTCAGCTTCGCCACATTACACCTAGCTCGCCCTGCAGGTTCTACATGGACATGAATGTTGATGAGCGCACCCTGGCCGCATAAAAAAGTCGTTGCAACAAGTGGCCGTGCAGAAGTCTTTCGGCCTTGAGCTGAGGAAAGATCCTCAGGGTGATAGACCTGACCGAGCTGCAGGCCAGGGACTCCCAGAGAGCCCAATATAATTAAGGAATATGGCCTAAATCATATAAATTAAGCTATATTCCTTAATCAAGGGGCATTGGGCTCTCTGGGCTTATGCCTGCCTCATGTGCTCCATGCCAGGACAAACTGACTATCAGGGCCCTGCAGGGCCATCCACCGATTTCGAACCTCGCACGTCCCACAACCCCAGGCCCCGTGGCCTCACATTTCAATTCACAAGCCTCGAGGACTCCCGCGCCTTGCTGCCGATGGACTTCATGCACTGGATATTGGAGTCAGCCGACAAGCCGTCGCATTAACCTCAGCTTACCACGCCTTTGTCTTCGCACGAGCGTTGCGCTCTTTCATGCTCATGCTCCGTCGCGCTCCTGCGAGGCCGCAGGAGATCCTCGACAAGTTGCGCACCGCTTTCGTGGAGCTCGACCCGACTCACGGCCTTCACGCCAGGTGGGTTCAATGAGGATCTTGCTATGGGCGCCTGTGAGTTTCGCTTTGGAAGGTTCGGAGAGATGAAGGAGCAGGAAAGGGCGGAGTCCTCGATCTTGAGCCTTCTGGCTTTGGTACGCAACGATTACGAGGCCTCAGCTGTGGAGAAAGGGTGGTCTTCGCTCAGCCGATGATCACATTGCGATTTGGACAGGTGTTTGCGTGCAGGTAAAGACAGATTATGACGGATTCACGGTCAAGCGCCCGATTGAGATTCAGAACAGTTGAGCTGGCATCGGTCGTTTGTTCGCATCTCACGCCTCGTCCGAACTTGGCCAGATTGGGGGCATTCTTGGAGGTTCATGGGCAGTTAGAAGTATGGTTATAAGTCCCCTAATATGGGTTATAAATATAGTTACCCGACTTCTGACCACATTTATTACTACCAATGAACCTCCAAGTGTGGAGTTGTGGAATGTCCAGGCTTTCGCTGCACCACAGAAGGCGGAAGTTCGCTTGACCAAATCGCAGTGGCAACAGCTTCAAGGCGTCCTCTCGTGGGCAGCTCCTCAAAAGCAGCTTCTTGAATTGAATGGTTTAGGGTTTATAGGGTTTAGGGTTTAGGGTTTATTTAGCATTCCGCGCGATTGTCAGTGGCAGTCCAACCCCCTGTGCTGTGTCACCGCAAGGAGCTTGCTGGCCGTTATTTGGCTGCTGGCGGTGCGCCCTGTGGGCAAATACAGGCTTGACTCTTGACGGGCTTGACCTGCACTTGAAGAGCGCAGTGCAATTCTGCGACGGTGATCTGGCTGCATGCGGCAGGCCAATCGTTCGCCAGCTGCCCGCGAAACATCAGCGCCCGGAGCAAGCTGTGCGCTACATTCTGGCCCCTTGACATAAAGCATCACATTGAATTTCTAGCATGGGCAGTACTCGTGGAGGCAGTTCCAGAGCATTGCCCGTCGGTCCTGAAAGGCTGCATATCCGGATGCAACCCCATCGGGGGCCACTCTGTCAGCGGATATACGGACCTATGTGAACCTGGGCGAGGGAAACAGCAGTATGTTCCCATTTGTGCCAGCATTTACCACGGGCTGCCCTCACGGGCATTCTTCGGCAGTCTCTGTCGAAGTTTAGGACCCAGACGCTGGACCTGCAAGTGTGCTTCAACTTTGCGCAAATGCTTCAGGGTGAGAATGTGCCTCATCTGAATACTGGCTGCGGTAGGAGTTCTTCGTACGCATGCCGCAGCGAGACTCACGAATCCAACCATTGGATACATGCTGTGGTGTCCAGCATGGCAACATCTCCCTTTCAGGTGCCAGCCAACCTGCTTCAGCTCAAGGACTTCATTCGAGATTCTGGTAGTGGCATGTCAAAGTTAGGTGTCGGATGGACTGCAAGATTCATGAGACAGCTTCCTGGGAATTTGGCTTTGGGTCATTGCTAAGGTGAAGAAGGTCTGCAATTTTATGCGCCTTGTTGGCACATTCGATCACTTGACGGCATGCGGCTGCCCAGCGCCGAAGTTTGACATGCTCAGCGGAAGTCGTGCAGGAAATCGACACGAAAAGTGTTGGATCCAGCAATTTTTTGCAAGTTCTAGCCATCCGTGTGCTGCCACTTCAACCCTAAACCCTAAACCCTAAACCCTAAAACCCTTTAGTTTACTTCGTTTGGTTTGGATAGGGGCATGCATGGGCAGCTTACAGTGTCACGCCGACTTATGCACCTATGGATCCTCGCCTGGCTTGTCCGAGTTGTGAGAGTGTAAACCCTAAAACCCTAGACTTCTGAGCGGTGAGGTACTCTTTCTGCTGGGATTCATGTCCGGCTTGGCCGGTGGGCAGGGCTCCCGCTTCATGACTCGGACAAACGCCAACGCAACAATCCCTGGGCTTTCGGTCATCAAGAGGGTGCTGGAGAAGGACCCGAATCTTTGGAGTGTCACCCGCAGCGATTCTGTAAAGCACAGTGCTGCAAGTCGTGCGAAAGTCGGGCGAAGTCTGGTGCATCGTGGTTCTATAACCGCCCGGGCGTGTGCCAGGACCCTGCGAAACTGTACTGGACCTTCCTCCACAACCGTGGAGTTCAACTGGGGCGGATGCCTCGCAATACGGCAGACTTGGCAGTGGTGCGGTTTGCATGTGGCTTATCCGTAATTATCTGACGCAGATGATTGCATGCTTGCTTCTGTCAATGATGTCGGCCCAGCTACAGATGGAACAGCTTGGTGTGACAAACACAAAGGGGCCCCAACTGTCTTTGCTGCCACGCTGCGCAGAGCTAGCTTTGCCCGCATGTTTTCTTGCACTGAGGCTTATGCCGCGCTCAATCTGTGAAGGATGTGCCGTGCTTGAGGGCTTGCAGCTGCAGATGTGAGCGAGAACTCGAAGATTCTCAGAGAGAAGCTCTTGCAAGCCATGCGCCAGCCAGCAACTCATCTTGCCAGGACCTCGAAGAGCTCCAGAAGTCCTGGAGTGGTCTGGAGTGCTCGGAGCAGAGGGTGCTGCTGCAACACTTCCTGGCAGATGGGATCGAGAATCGGGCCGTGGTCTTCGAGCCCCTCCGCTCAACAATGCAACATCGCAGTACAACATCATACAAGTTTGCACGCACGATGTCTGCGCTGCGAACTTTTGGCCACAGATTACCAATCGCTGCTTTCACAGAGAGTCTCAGAGCCTTCTATGCCTTCTTTGTAAACCAGCCTGCGGTTGCAACCGATGAACTCGACTCGCCCTGGCAAAGGTTCCTTCCGCTGTGCTTGGAGCGTGCAAAGGCGAATGCTATGTGCTCAGTGCCGGCACGAGCCTACTTGGAGTTATAAGTCAGGTAACTATAGCTACAGCCCATATAAGGGACTTATAAACCACCCATGAACCTCCAGGTAGGCCCCTACGTCCTGGCCCTCTGCTTTTGTGCAAAGCACTCGAGCCATCGGCGAAGCTCAGGCCTTCGTGACCATCCCTGCGCTCTTGAAGGCAGTGTGAGCTCACCGGGCACCTTAGGGAAAGGGCAGAGATCAGGGTTTAGGGTTTAGGGTTTAGGGATCAGCAGGAATGAAGGGGTTTTTGAGCGGAATCTTCAAATTACTCGATCAACGGTTGCAGGTGGGTCACCCTACAATCAGTAGTAGCCAGCCAAGGCAAAAACATGTATGCATGGTGTGGGCGATTTTCGAAGCCAGCCAACATGTGTTTATCGGGCAACGTGAAAATGGAGGTTATGTGGGTTTTGCAGTATCCATTTCAAACATGCGTGGTCTTGTGCGCTTCTCGAACGGAATGTATGTCTCGTGGTGCCTATGACATCTATATGATATGTGTACCCTTTTTGATCCCTTCCATTTTTCTGGCTTGCCGAAAGCTTCCTCGCTTTTGATCCTTGTTGCACGCATGGATTGAAAGCCGGTTCCAGGTCCTCGTCGAGCTCGTGCGCGCAGTTCATGCGACATACACAGGCTCAGGTGGGCAGAGAGAGGTTGATGACGACGAAGCCCTATCAAAAGTCGTTTGTTTGACAGGTTGCCATGGGGTTCGGTGCACCTATCAGCAAGATGTGTAGTGGCTTATCGTCGAAGATCCGAAATGTGGCAGCAGTTTGCACAGCATGGACGCGCCAACGGTCACCTCGCAGGCATGATCCTGGCTGTGGACCTGGCTGACCTGGCAGCTTTCATCCTGATGGTGCAAAACAGCCACTTGCCGACTTCATGCCGATGACATCTGATATCATCCCCTGACGCCGATGATTTCGTTCTTGCAAGATGCCGACTTGGCTTTGCCACCACAGTAGCGTCATAGTGTTCTTACATTATACAAAGCCCAACACGAGTTAATGTAGAAGATGACCGAGGCTACATTTTCCAGACGTGCTTGTCAAGGGCAAGGCTCCGCTTAGCGGCCCCTTGGCGAGGTTACAAGTGCGAACCTAAGGCGCCACCCCGTTGCGGCTGTTGCAACCTGCAGACTTCCGAGTCCTGCGAGCTCAGGATGATCGATTCTCTCTGGAGGTGCAGCAGGAGAACTGGCGCCGGGTGAGCCTCAGAGGTGTTTGAAAGACTTCATCCGAAGGGCTGAGCCCTCACAAACCCAGAGTGAGAGGCATCAGAGAGACATCAACGAGTCAGCAAGCAATATTGTCGGACACTGCACGGCATGGCATGTGAGGTACAAGAATCCCACACGGATGTCATCATGTTGGCAAACTCCGTACGTGAGCTGGTTCAGAAGCAGAGGCACAGCGAGGACTGCTCAGTACAAGAGTCTGAGAGCTCCGTTTAGGCCAGCCGGGCCCACTCAGCATCTGGGGGGTTCTCGCAACTGGGCGCAGGAGACTGGCGAGCCTCCCTCCGGACATGAGCTTCACATACATGCCGTGAAGAGCTGCCAGTTCTAGGCCAATGAGCTGTTCGGAGAACGCTCCATCCCGTCATTCGCCTTAGCCTTAGTAGGGGGACCTGCCGGCATGAGGGTATGAGGTGCATGAGGTACCTTCGCACATGGTTTGCGACTGATTGTGCTGGAAAGCGTGTTGGGGGTGCGGCTGTAGGCGGGGATTGTAGGGGCATATGCACGAAGAGCAGGAACGGCATGAACTGGGCAATGCCGCTGTGCACTGGGAGAAACCGGTGAATATCTGAAGCACATCGGTTCAGTGGATTCTTGAGTGATCTAAGGACGTGGTCCGCGTTGCTGCCGTGGCTGCCTTTGCGTGCAGCTGCGTTGTGCAAATTAGATTGTCAATTTTACCAAGCAGTGCGTCGAAGGCCCATGCCATTCCGCAAGAGTAGCTCTGATCTCATGTGCAAGTTGTTTCTTAAGACGTTTGATTTTGATTCTTGGGCTGCTTGGGCTTTTCCAAGCGGTACCTTAAAGAGGTGCCGCAGTGGTACAGTTCAAGCAGTTGTCGACGCATACACGCATTTGAGACTACACCCTGCTCGCCCCGCAAGTATTTCAGGTTGCGAGGGCAGAGAGGACACGGTGTACGGCCACAGAGCCGTGTTTCACAGGGGCTTGTTCCCTTCGTCGAACCCATCAGAGCTCGCGCAGAGTCACACGTTGAGTTTTAGAATGCACGCCCAAGACGGCGTATGCTACAGACCCAATCGGCTTCTCGCACACGCGTCGGCAAGACTGCTGCTCCGGAACTTGGCCAGGCTCTAAAGCATACTTTGATGACAGCGGCGTACGCCCCCGCAGATGACCCGCATGGCCAAAATGCCAGACTGTATATTTTCCCACGAAATCGCCTCATGGCGGCACCTCCTAGCCCTCTGACTCTTCAACTTTAACAGTGTACGAGCCCCACTTCAGCTCGTTTGGCAGCATGCCGAGCCTACTGGCAGAAACCCAATCCTCAGTCGCGCAGCGTGTGGAGCTCAGACACCAAAGCCAGACAGGATGGGTCGCAGGGCCATCTTGCAATGCATGTGCCAGTATGCCAGCCGACAATCAGGTTTTGCCAGCCTTGAAGCAGAACTGCAGACTGCCTTCGGGGACATCCGGAAGCAGGTGAGTGACGGGGGCTTGGTGCAAGTAAGACGTCGTCGAAGTGTGCAGGTGGGTCTGGCGCACAAAGCCATCGAGTCCGACCTGGTTCGAAATCTCGAGCGAAGCCATGGGAGCGTGGAGGCTGCTGACCGCTTTCATCCGCTTTCTCAGCTTCATGTCCTTCGAAGCATCCTGTTCTTCACGCAGGTCCCATCAGCAAGTCCTTTGCTGGCAGCGGAAGTATCTCCTCTGGACTCCTGGATATTGAAGGACGCAGGAATTACGATGACAATGACCGTGTCCGATGCTCCCGGGCCAAAAGACAGCACCATGTCGAATCTTGTCTGCCTTATCTTTGGTGCAAGTCATAGCCGCTCATGGCTCATGCACGGCTCCTGGTTCCCCGTTTTGATCTCAGGGTTGGAGCTCTGGTGCTCCAGCAAACAGCAGCAGCCTTGCAAGAAGGAGCATCCTCACAACCGCATTTTCGGCTGAATAGCCATCTGATGGAGATATCTCAGAAGGTGTGCGGGTCGGCCTACTTGCAGCAAGCCCCATGTGCATCATGCCTGAACCTTCCCTCCCTGGTGAGGCTGGCGAGGCAGTTGAGACGGTCAGCCGCAGAACAAAGCACAAGTTTGGAAGCAGCTCGGCAACGCAGATGGGATCTCTTGGGTCGCATAGGCAAAAGTCACCTACAAAAAGCTTGCACAGCGAGTTTGACAAATGTGACTCAATCGTGGTATCGCCCAACTCCAAATTTCGCGTCGGCTGGGATTTTGCGAGCGTGACCCTCATCATCTTGGACGCTTTCCTCCTCCCCCTCACAATGGCCTTCGATCTGGATGTTTCGCCATTCACGGCTGGAGCAAAAGGTGGTGAGGTGCTTTTACAAGTCTTGGCAATGACATCCTTGATCTTTTGGCCACTTGACTCTTGCCTGCACGGCGAACCTCGCGGTGTCGTGTTCGGCCATGAAAGTGGTCAGCTTGCAGCACCCGAGGACATGGTCATGTCGTTCAACACAGGCTTCTACAGGAAGGGCGCCTTGCAACTGAAGCGAAAGGCTCGTCGGAGGGAATGGGTTCGTGTTCCAAGCACACGGGATATACACATTGTTATACCTGTACAAAGGTAAAGGTCCTGAAGCAGCTAGGCCTTTAATCGGCACTAATGGAGAGGTGTGCAAAAGTCCTTGGCGAGAGCCCTTTCAATATGGCTTTCGATGTGGCCACGACGCTGCACACTTCGCTGTTGGGAAGCCTCATCTGTAAGGCAACGCATAGGACGTAGCACGCATGCTGGGCCGAACAGCTCGCTTGCGAAACCGATCCCCACTCCACTGCAGTGTGACTCAGTCGACCTCGTGAAAATAGTGAAAGGCATGACATGAGCATCGAGGATCCGGGGCTGGCCCAGACGTGGACGTGATCCAGACACTCGCTCGATACTCCTTCATTCTTCTTCGGCGTTTGCTTTCGTGCTTGCCGTGCCTGCTCCTCGGGCAAGCTTTTTCTTCGCTGCTCCTTCCTCGCGCTAAATCTAAGCGGTACGTTATGAGAATTAGCCGGCATACAGCGGGGCCATGGAAAGACTTGCAAAATTTCGTTTTTTGCGGGCCACTGATCCTACAGAGTAACTGACTTACATGACATGTACTTACATGGCTGGCATGTACAGACACCGCAAATCCCGACCAGGACATCTGTCAGGGCCTCAGTTCTTGGAAGTGGGCAGTCCGCGATATCTCCATCTTGCTGCTGTTCCACCGAGAAGGATTGCATCGGCAAAGATTTCGCAGATTTCAGATCTCAGGTCTTCATTACTTGAAGACTTGGTTCGCCTTCGATGTTTGCGTCCTTGCTGTAGACTACACTGCCGGATTTGTGGGCAATGTCTCCAAGGACAGCACTGGTATTCGTATTGACGATGTAGTTCGGTCTCTGGTTCCTTGGCAGCTTCGAAGCTTCGTCGCTTCCACAGGAGCAGGGCGATCTCTTGCGCCCACTTCGGTCTGCACGTTACCTCCGCTTGTTGCGACACATGGCTGTGCTACGCTTGATCGATGGTCCCAGGAAATCATTCATCTTTGAAGTGTGCCAAGTGGTAAGCGCAACTTTATGTTCGTCGTGTGTATGTCTTGGGGCGCTTTGAAGACGTGTGCTCAGGAACTCTCCGAATTCTTCGAATCTTCAAAGCCGGTAAGGTCAATGTCATAATCGAAAACCTTGCGCTGCAGCTGAAAGAATTGAGCTGCATTCGACATGATTCTGCTGATGCCGTTCATTTTGTGCTGGCATCTGTGTCTCTCTGAACAAGCTGCAGGTGATTTCGATGGGAAGGCAATGGCTGATACTGCTCTTCACAATTGGCCGAATGCTGATGGTGATTGGAGGGGTGACGCATGTTCTGGCCTGCGTCTTCTTCGTCGTGGGGAAGGCGGGGTCATGAATGGGGGTTTCCGAAAATGGTACTTTATTTTGGGGTCCTTATAATAGGGATCCTACCATTTAGGGTACTATATTAGGGTCCCCTATTTTGGGGAACCCCCGAATGGAGAGCAAGAGCAGCTGAGAGTTTGTTTGTTGCCAGGCAGTGTCAGAAGCACGAGGCCTCCAGGCCGTTCCTGAAGCACAAGATCTCAAGATGGGTAGTTGGAACTTCCGATGCATTGGTGCATGAATCCGGTCGTGCGAGCTCTGTCGCACCCTTCAGAAGCGCCAGCTTCGCGGGTGGGTTTCGTGCATCCGAAGGTGCAATCTGCAAGGTAACTAAATGACGTCCATAGTGTTCGCCTGATAAGTGGAGGGTCCGCAAGAATTTTGTTGGCACCAAGGATCGACATAGCGCAGATTGCACTCTCCGACCCAAGCATCCAGTATGTGCATGCCATCGGATGGATCCTCCTACCACCAGCACCACCGCAACTGGACCCAGCTGCTGAACAGCATTGTCTGTGCATCAGGGGCGACATGTTTCTTTTGCTTTGTTGCTAGGTGCGACATGCCAGGTATGTCTTGCTTATGTTCACTATCTCACTCTTGGTGTTCTTATCTCTGCCCTCTCAGGAAAGTGGATTGGAGCACGTCGTTGCAGTGTTGGTTTTTGTGCTCACCGCCCATTGCCTGCAGTACCATGTGAGACCCGAGCATCCTTATCAGATCTCCTGCTTGCCACCTGGCTGAGGTGCTGGTCATCGGATCTGCGCTGTCCATCTTGACCGGTACGCTTCACGAGATTCGCCAAGTGAATAACGAGCGCAGCCGCAGCTTGTCAAGCCCTTCACCGATGCGATGTAGATAGCCTTCCCTCGCTCAAGAACTCAGTGGGGCTGCCCACAGCGCAAGCTCTCTGAGTTGCAGCGCTTCGTTAGGATTAATGTTAGAAATAGCTGGGCAAGGTAAAAGACGCGAGCTCCGAATCTTCCTCCAGACCAAGGCAGTCTCGACAGAGCCGCTGGGACTTGCCGAATGTGTCTGCACATGCCTTGCTGTAGCAAATGTCTGGTGTTGCGCAGCTCCAGTGCTTCATGCGAGGCTGATGATGCGAATCATGAGCTATGCCGACTACAAAATGACTCGTCACTCCCCGATGCTGGGATGTTTGTTAGCGCCAGCATGAGCAGGGCATGGTTGCTTGCGCCGTGGAGCTGGGAAACAGCGCCTGTGACCGTGTATTCTGCCCAGGATTGGATATGATACCTCCTTAATATCACCTGTCCTTCATGCGGAATTGGCCACGTTCCAGCTGGGAGGCCTCATGAGCGAAATGAGACAGAACGTGCCAGGTGCTCTCACTCGTGCATGCTCCTTCCCCTCCCGCTTTGTCGCTGCTTCAGCCATTTCCTCTGAAGAAGTTTATTTGATACATTTTCTCGAACAGCTGTCGGCACAGAGAATTGGAAGCATGGCATTCGAAGCAAACCCTTCAGATCACCTTCGCGGACATCCCTTGTACCTCTTGACCTCGAAGATCTTTCCGTGCCTGGTCATCGCACAGCAGCATTGGAGCTTTCAGAATAATGATTTTTGAGAGAAGTACCTCTTAATGTTAGTGCATGCGAAGGCAGGTTTTCGCAGAGTTCTGCAGATCTCTGGACAAGACGTACTTCAGTGAGGCCGGCTTGCATTGGAGTGGAAACTGGTTTGTACAGGTTGGCTGGTACGCACCTAAACCAGGACGGGGCTCTGCGCGCGATCGCTTGCATGGCAAAATTCCGAGCTGAAACATATTGGAACCGCAGCAGTTTGCGCTGGGATTTTCGAGATGTCGCCATGGTTTGAACAGCAATATCTTCATTCATTGAACCGGCATTACTTCTGGTGGCTTGCATGCGTCGTTGCACAAACGCGAGTGTGTGTGTGTGTGCGCATGCAGTTGCATTTTGTCTTTCCCGTCCACAGTTCTGCTACCAATGAACGGGACGCCAATCTGTGTAACTGCATGTGATACACCCACAGGGCAAGCTCAGGATCCCACCATGAGCCGGCCCTCCCGGGTGCAAAGCTTGTCCTCGAAGCGAACTCGTGAGAAACAGTGAAGAGATGTAGGCCTTTCTATCGAAGATGTCGAGCACACTCGTCTTGACGACTTCACAGGTCGAGGCGAGCAGGTCACTTAGTAATGCTAGGGTGTGCACCCGGATTGCTGGCTACAACCACGTTCGGTGCGAATGCCAAAGGTGCAAGCACACGCTCGGGGGGTGAAGTGAGATGGGAGATTGGGTGGTCCAACGAAGCGGGCTATGCCTCTAGCAGAGACGAATGCTCTTGCAAAGCATTCGATTGAATGCAAGATTTTTGAACAGAGGGCTTATCTTTGGCGATTTCTGCTTGTGGGCTTCGGTGGAGGGCGCGCCCTTCATAGCCTTCATTTCAAGAGAGAAGGAGCGAAGAAGAGAGGAAGGAAGGAAGGAAGGAAGGAAAGAAGGAAGGAAAGAAGGAAGGGGATGGGCATTGAACACATTGAGTCGGAGTAACGAATCAGGAGCAGAACTGAACAACCGGCGAGCCAAGACAAGAAAGACAAAAACAAATAACGACTGAAGGAACAACACGACGGAACGATCGAACGAACTTACGAAGTAGTGGTAGACACAAAGAGGAAAGGAGTACAAACTAACTAAATAGAGAAGCAACCAAGACTGCAAGGAGAAAGGGGACGGGAATCAAAAGCAGCGAGAGCGTAAAGAAGGGAAAAACAGGAGAAGACGAGACACTCGGACTGTTAGAAACTACTACCCCTACCACGAAGAGCACCACCACTACCACTACTACTTTTCCTTCTCCTTCTGCTTGGTGTCTTGGTGTTTTGTTGTTTTTTAATGCTAGACTGCCAGTTCGTGCATATTGCACGCCATGACTCAGCCTGAGGGTGTCGGAGGTAGTCTCACCTTGGACGGACCTGAGCAGGACTTGTCGGCTGGTAGCACAGTTAAGGGACTTGTCTCCTTGAAGCAAGTGTCAAGAGATGCCACAGTATTGCGCAGCATGCTGCGGTATTTCGGGTCACCAAGGCCGCACTCTTTAAAAATTCCCTTACCGACGTAGGCAATTCGTTTCCTTATCTAAGGATGTCGGCAGGTCTGATACCAAGGGCGGTGCTGGCTTACAGCACGTCTGAAGTTGGTTGGCACATTCGCTCGCTATGGAGCCCGCTCGCTCAGCGTCCAGGTTGTTGTTGCTGTTGCCGTTGCAGTTGTAGTTGTAGTGGTAAGAGTTGTAGGAGTTGCAGGAGTTGTCATTGTAGGAGTAGTAGCAGCACCCTTCTGGTCCAAGGCCCAACAGCACAAACTACACACAATCAACAGTGCCCAACAAATTCTTAATGCATGTTGCAGTGTCAACTCACTTGACGAACCTCGCCCGCGGCTGAGTCGTTCCTATTATTTCCTACCTACGCCGTGCGCCCTGTAACTTTGCATCGTTCCAAAAACTTTGATGACCTTGAGTTGCACTTCTGGTTGGCACTATGCATCGTCCGCATTGCAGATGCCAAAACTGCCCATGGGAAACTTGCCCATCAAGACACTTCGGCATGTCTCGCGCTGTCGGACTGCGTGTGTTCTGATTGGCTGCCGCACTGGAACATCGTAGAAACATGTGTTTCCACTCCAAGAACTGCGCGGCCGCTGCTCGCCTTTGCGAGGCGGAATCAGTGTTCATCGAGGCCTCTCTCGCCGAGAGCATGTACATCACCAGCCACGGGGCCTTCTCGGTAGGCTGGAGACCCGGCAGTTGCTGCAGTTCGGTGCATGGGCAGAGTCGCTTCCTCGAGGCACGGAGCTGGACATGGCAAACAATGTTTGCAACTTTGTCAATGAACACCGATACTTTGCGGAGGCCCAGCATGAGTTTGAAGATCAGGGTGGTAGAGACTCGATACTTGCAGGGCTTTTCTTGATGGTTTGTGCATCTCCATCACTGTGTGTCGTCAAGAACTTACTGATTGCCCGCCCCTTGCCGCGGCTTGAGGTGTCAATGTACGTGGAAGCCGTCATGCACGATTGCACGCTGGTCGCCGAGTCCTTCGCTGAGGTCGCGCACAGAACGATGTTCAAGTGTATAACAAAGTCAGTGTCCTTCAGTTTCAGAGCAGTCTGTGGATCGAGCTGCTCGCTTTTCCAGGCAGCATTGGGAAAGATATAGGGCAGGGGGCTTCCATCGAAGTTCGTCGCAGCGTACAGGACGGACTCACGAGGCAAACAGTGCGAGCAAGCCGGACAGCAACCATGCTGGCTTGCGCTGACATGGTAGGGGCGTGACGCAAAATCTTCGAGACTCTCCCTACCGTCATCCCGTCGGTAGCCATGTGGGAGTTTCAGAAAATTAGGGTACCTTATTTGGGGGTCCTTATAATAGGGATCCTATTATTTAGGGTACTATATTAGGGTCCCCTATTTTCGAAAACCCCCATGTACTGGTTGCCAGGTCTTCAAATTGTCAGGCCACAAGCTTGCCGACATCCTGCGGCTCGCTGCAATAGCAGCATGTAAACTGAAGCGAGCCACAGTCAGATCAATGCGCAGCATCTGAATTGACACGTGGCTTACGCGGCTTTGTGCTTTCGACCTAGTGCTGTCAAGGTCGCATTCCCCCCCTTGCGCCACTATGTTTGTGGAGTATGCGACAGAGCGACCTGGTCCTTTATCACAGACCCTCTACGACAGGTTTAGAGTTTGTAGATGGCACGCCCCGCAAGGTTCGTCGGTCGCTATTCCTCACCCGACGTGGATGCATCTGCCCACGAGATTCTGCAAGCATCCGAAGACTGTGCAAAAAATGCCAGTGAATGCAATTCCTTTTATTTGGACCTCTACATGGATGACAGCTTCTCGATTGCTGCTATGTTGAGGTTGAATTTTCTGGTCCTCCCGAAAGTAGGACGCATTTGGGGGCGCGGTCATTTTTGGTTGCCCAGTTATTTGTGAAAGCCAAAGCCTGTCAGCTGGCCGAGGGAAAGCCATCCGCTACCTGAGCCTGCAGTCGTTGACCAGCAAGCCGGGACGCACTGCCAGCCCAGCCGCCTTTACTGCGAAGGTATTGAACTCTTCGACGCTTGGACCATTGACATGCGTCGCATGCTGTCGACCCTCTCGACGGTCCCCGACTGCTGCCCTGAGTTTGAGGATCGTGCCATCGTTAGAGGAGCTCCGGGATGCTTTTGTAGAGCTGGACGTGGAGAGTGGCCTTCATGCGAGGCCACTGTGTCATTACAGAGTTGCGATGCACCGCAGCGGAGAAACACTTGCAGCTACGATAAAAAACCCTCAGTCACTCAGGTTCTCTGAGCCAAAGGAGCAAGAGCGTGCTGAATCTGCGATCCTATCTTTGGTCTCCTTGGTGCGGGATGACTACACAGCAGCCCAGATGAATAACTGTCAGATGCATGGCCTGCACACATCTGGCGCAATTGCGGCCTCTTGCCTTATGTGTTGCATACTGCATAATTACCGTTGATGCATGTTTCATTGCGCTGCAGGATGCAACTTACGAGGTAAATAAATAGGGCCTAGGGATGTTGCTCCTGTGGGGTTGCCGCAGGAAGCGGTCGCCCCCATAGACTTGCACTCTTGATGCACTCTTCAGCTTGGCTGGTCTTGGGCAAGTGACCATTACATAGAAATAGTATAATAGCCTCGTCGCTGTAGTCCCTTGCAAGCATTTTCCATGCTGGCGTCCCTGTCCCGCAAATGGAGTGTGCTTTACTCAGTGTTACTAGTTGTAGGGCGAGTCGCTGGCTGATCGCCACGCATTTCGTGCACTGGCCTGCAGGTTGCAGTTGCACGATCGTCGGATCAGTTTCCCATGAACGTCGGAATGTACCAGCAGTTGCCAGTAGTTGGGCAGCTCGATAGCGTATCGCTTAGTGCCACATGTCTCGCCAAGGCCTACATCCTGCCCCAACGGGAGAACGGTCGCCTGACCCGAGCACAGTGGCAGCAGCTGCGGAGCATTCTGGAATGGGCAGGTCCGACCCAGGAGACGCGCGAACGCACCGTGTAATTGCCTTACGGTGTTTGGGATGGGTATTGCTGGGTAGCAGCTAGCACACACGGGCTGCAGCAGCAAGCTGACAGGCTCAAAGCTGCGCATGATATCGGTGTTTCCCTTTTTCGCTGGCAGTCTCGGTCAAACCAAGGAAATTGCAGGCTGCGATTCTTCTTCTAGCTATTCGTGGAATTGGCAAATTTAGGCCGCTGACCAAGCAGGCAGCAAGCAGGTGTAAACCGATCCATTGGGAAAGACCGCCTCCCGCACAAGGTCATTGACGCGCCAGTTGCCACCAATTCGACGCAGGCCGGAGGCAGCTGTTCGATACATCCTAGTACCTCGATAGAAAGAGAGGTGATGTCTGTGTCCATGTTTTTGAGCTTTGAGCCGATGCAAGTGCAACCAGGTGCAATTATGTGCACCGGTTGCCCCGCCTCATCCGTCCCTCAAGACTTGGCCCATCACGACGCTTACTCGTCCCGGTGGCTAACTAAGGAACAATATTCCGATGCCATGCCGTCATCGAAAAGTATGGATAAGAACATGTCGACGTTGGTGAAACTTGGCCATCGCTGCTGCTGCCTCTGTCGGCGAAGCCTTGTCTTGTGAGTTGCTCGAGGATGGATGCCTTGGAGTTGCAGCAGGAATTCAACTTTGCCCAGATGTTGCAAGGCGAAAATGCAACTGGGCACGCAGCTGGCAAGTTAAATCATCGAACTTGCTCGTGTGCCTGTGGGTCTTCATGGGTAAGCTTTTACATGGCGTAGTCGCTTGGTATGCTCGGGAAGTTCGATTCCGGCATGCCTTTTGAAGCTGCCGGTCTTTGCGAACATACAGAAGTTCTTCAGACAAATCTCGAAGGAAGCTTGATGTTGGCCGCGTATTGCGGAGTGAGTCTGACATCGACTGAACTAGAAACGTAGCAGATCGTCGCTTTGCTCAGTTCAGGTCGCAGGCAACCTGTGCCAGTTGAAAGACTTCATGCGCACTAAGGGAGGCTCCTCGGAAGCACCAGGTACGATGAATGCTGACTGTGGGGTGTGGCCCGACATGTAGGCAGGACGAAAAGCAGCGATTGGCTTTTGGGGGATTCGGAGCAAACCCAAGGAGAGGACACGTTGAAATTCTTCGCAGCTTGGCTGGGAAGACTTGCTTGGAAGATCTGGCTTTGAGGCTTTCGGGCCCACTTTCAGCGAGCCGAGGTCCTCATCTTGCTTGGCTTCATGTCAGGTCTGGCCGGCGGCACAGGTTCTCGTTTCATGACCTGTCGTGGCTGGGCAAGAAATTTGAATGCAAGGCTAGCTTCAAGAGCTTGGGGCCTGGGCTTGCTGCTAGGTGCGGACCGGAACGGCGACGCGTTGAGACCCTGCCCGTGTGTGGCAGTTGAAAGTTCCGCCAAATCTCAAAACCGTGGAGCTACCTGCGATTCCCATCTGGTAAAGAGCTTTTCCCCAAGAAATGTGGTAGCACTATGGGAGTAAAGAGAGTCTAGATTGAGGTTCTCGCAGGGAGCGCCTCATAAAGGAGCTCCCAGCATCCTACAATTCGCAGCATGTTGTGTAAATCGAATCCCCGCATTCCACTCTTTACTCAATTTGACACATACTTACACAGGATACTCGTGGCGCACGTACTGTAAATGATGCGACATGGATAGTATGATCCATGTCGACAAGATTGAATCGCAGCAGTCGTTGGGGGAAGCGATTAGGGTGTTCCTCTGGATCTCACAAGCCAAGTGGCGAAGCATAAGTCGGCTGCTCCCGAAACGCGACAGTACTTGACAGAAACCGCTTTCGTGCTGCTTCTGTCCTGGTTGTCCTCCGCTGCTTTTCTGCTGGTCTCCTCCTGGTGGACTTCTGGTGGTGTTTAGGTTGTCTCTTGGTGGTCTCCTTCGTGGTGTGCTGGTGTCGTGGTGGTCACTTGCTGGTCTCATGGTTGTCTCCAATTTGTCTGCTGGCGGTCGCTTGATCCTTGTCGCAGTGCTCGTCGCATGGCGCAGATTCTGGAAAACGACAGATTGCAACTAGTTGCGACTTTCTGGTCCTGATGGTATGGTCTTTCACTGTTTGGGGCCGCTGGCATAGTGAGAAGGACACAGGGCCTCGTCTCTTCTTTCGGGCCTCTTGAAGCATGGGCCCATGACACCGAAGGCAACGCCGAAACCACGATCATGGGCTTGAACGCCATGAAGCACGTCTTGAATGAGGACAGCATGCTTGGCTTGGAACCGGATGCAAACACTGGCACGATGACAGGACCCTGCACGGCTGTATTGGACCTACATCTACCATCGAGGCCGGGCGTGCTGCATGGGCTGCATGGCAATGCATAGCACCATGGCTCAACGTCGGGCACTGGCGTGGAGGATTGGGTTTGTCGCGGGCTCCGCAGCATTCCACCGATCTTGCAGTCATTCGCCTGGCCTGTACCTGTGGCAGCATTTGTACCATGTTTAGTGTTTAGCAAGCAGCAGCCCGCCAGCCACAAGGCTAGAGAGCAAAACCCAGACAGCGCCAGAGTCACCAAGGCCTATGCCGGATCCAGACGCAGAAGGACACGGGCTCGCGACCCTCGAGTCCGGCGATCCAAGACAAAGCATGCAACAAGTTCTTACGGAACCATTGAGGCTTTAAGCCCATGCCAGCCTGTCAGTCAAGGCTTCGTAAGGAGTCCTCGAAGGGAAATCAGGACGTCTCGAAGTTTCTGCAAGATTTACAGACAACAGCAACGGCTCTTTCCCCGATCCCGCTTTAAGAAAGGAGAGATGACGGATAGCCAGTGCCGTGTTTCAAAGCAATCGTGTCGCAATGCCCTGGCAATCGACTTGCAGGATTTCCTTGGCCTGCAGAGATCCTGGGATGCCCTTGGCACACCTGAGCAGCAAGAGCTTTGCAAGCATCTTCTTGCAGATGGAATCACGAATCCGGCGGTCATTTTTGAGCACCACGGCTGGCAGCATGATGCAGACGGTGTGCAACTCACGCAGAGCCTCACAGAACGATTGAATGAACGTCAATGCGCGAGCAATTGAAGACAAGGTTCCTGCCCCTGTGCTTGGAGCGTGCCAACACGAACCCCTTTGTCCGTGGCTCATCGGGGAGAGATGCGGAGCCTGCCGCGGCCCTCTGCACTTTCAGCGTAGTTTATGGGGAGTCGAGGTCACCGTGCCCTGCTTCTTGGAGGCCAGAGATGCTTTCTTCGCTGTAGAGACAGGGGTTTGGCCTTTTTTGTTCACGTCTCTGCCAGGTTTTGGTGGAGTTGATCCAAGCGGTACGATCTTCAGAGCCGGCTCTGCAAAGTTTGGGGCCGAGATCCTTTGAGGCCACATTCATGGTCAGAGCGGAGCTCTCAGACTCATGGCTGTTTGAGGTCGAATGCTTACGGTCGACCTGGCAGACATGGCTGCCTTCACTCTCATGGTTCGGAACAGTTGCCGGGTGTACAGCAAAGCCCGAGGCAAAGGAGAGAATGACAACGAAGAACAGACGGAGAGAACGAGGGATGATTCTGATGATTCCTCTCGAAGCCAGGGAGTGAGAGCGAGTGCAGCTTCTAGTGTTTTTTTTTCCACCGCAGGGCGAATGCGGGCAAAGTTGAAGTTTAACACGAGAGCAGCGTACATGTTCGAAGCCGTGGATGTTCAGAGCATGGACAACCAAGGCTTCATTTTTCAGACATGCCTCTCGCGGGCCAAGCTGAACAAACAAGAGCCTCGAGGGCAAGATGACTGACATAATGGGTCATGGAGCAGAGGCATTTTCTTGTCGTTAGCACGCTCGAGTATGTTCCTCTGCCGAAGTAGTTGTAGTGCGCAGTGCTGAGGATGATCGTTTCTACTTGGAGGTTACTCAAGAGAATTGGCGTCGTGCGACCTTGCTGCACGAGTTCTCGCGCACGGCGGATGTTTCCTAAGGCCACGTTGCTTCCAGCAAGAGCCTCCTCGGTTCAGGTGAGTGAACCTCACACCGACATCATCATGTTGGCGACATCCGTTCGAGATCTTGCTCGGAGCCAAGCGAAGGATCCGGGCACAGCCTGCACCCGGTCGCAGTCGATCTCTGCTGTCAGCAAGTCTTCGAGTCTCCACCTGCTTTGGTAGGACCAGAGGCAACGTCTCGGTGACGATGGCTATTGCAGTGTTTGAGATGACGGGTGCAAATCGACTTCCAGCTACATCTGCCAGTGTGGTCGGGTGGAAGCCGTGCTATTCGGTCGCGTCTGAGCTCCCTTTCCGGAGAACTGTATCTACAACCTGCCTCAAGCTGAAGGCTTGCTGGACAGCATCGTAAGAGCCAATTTAAACACCATTCCTGCAAAATGCATGGGTGTCTTCGCCACGCCACGCCGGGGCGATGCAGATGTACAGTTGTCGTCTTTGATGTCATTGATGAAGTCGTGCAGCATGCCGATACGCGTTCAGCTGCGAAGTGGAAAAAGGAAGCATGAAATGATATGACATCACATAGCAGTAGATGAAAAACTTTCATGCACACGTAGACTCACGCATCCACACATACCACCCCCACCCACACAGACAGACATGCATACACATACATAATTTACGTACATACATACATACATACATACATAATACATACACATACACGGAAACATGGACATCTAGAAACATGGAAGCATGGAAACATTGCATAGGCATAGGCATAGCCTTTATACATACACATACATGCTCGCACATACACAGGCACATGCATGCACACATGCGCCCATCCATGCATGCCGCCCATCTAATGCATGCATGCACACTGAAGCAATCATACGCATATGCATACAGGCATGGGTACATACGTACTTGCATACATGCATCCTGGGTTCGTTGTCTTCTCTGGCCCTGCAAGGCTCAAAGGCAGGAAGGGGTGGAGAGATGCAAAGCCCTTACAGCCGTCCAAACAGCCACGAGAACTTGGGATGAAGAAGAGCACTGCAGGTCGTTGATGCGTAAACATGGAGAGTCCGGAGCGCCCGATATTGCAGAGTTTGCTGAGCTTGGAGGTGGCCGGATGGTCAAGTTCTGTCAGCCTGAAGTCGTTCCGCCCTGAAACTCATCAGAGCCGGACTGGCAACGGTCACTAGGCAGTCAGGTTGTTTAGGTCCGCGCTTTTCGGCCCGCGCGTCGAGTTGGGGTTAGCTTGGTCAAGTGTTGTACTGGGAAATGCCCAGTTTAGATTCTCGCAGCAGGTTTTGAGGCTGCAGCGGCAAGCTGATTGCAAATTTTTTCTTCAACATTTCTTCAGCAACATGCCGTGATGGAATCCGGTTTGGTGCGATCTTTCGACAATCCGTATAATCTTGCTTAAGGGTTGGCCGTAGATGTGTCATGCCTTCCCAACCGGGCTACTCGTACGGTGTAAGTTCCCCAAGCACGTAGGACGAGTGAATATTTATCCGCTTTAGGTGTCAAGGCCAGCGTTTTATTTGAAGTTCTGGCTTACTCACACATGTGCCACTGCAATCAGTGAGACCGAAGTGGGGCACCTCCAAAAGTCGCTCTCCAACCATAGCGCTGTGACCCATTGCTGCCTCAAAGAGTCATGCTCCTGCCACATGCCCACACATGTTTTGGGATGCAGGCTCTGAAGAGGTGATCTTTCGCGATTTGGGGTCGACGCTGGCGTGAGAGTTCGAGAGGCGAGATTCCCAAACGAATACGATCCTTCTCGTGCAGGTCGAACTGCAGCAGGTCTTTGAGCGGCTTGCCAGTCAGGCGCTTCTAAGCTTGCAGCCGGAAGCTGAAAGACCTAACGGTTGTCATCCTCGGAACCCCATGACTCCATGACCCATGACCAGCAGCCTCGCAGTGTAACAGCCCGACAGAAGGCTATCGCGGATCACAGCTGTAGGTGCACGACCTGCAGAAGGACGTGCAGGTAGCGTCGCTCCGGGAGCCATCCCACGAGTTAAGCGACTGGAACGTGCCCACCGAGCGCTTTCCCATTGCCTCCTCGCTTGAAACATGCATTTCCAGCAACTTGGCAGCTTCATCAATGCTTTGCAAGCTTGCCTATAGCTGCTGCAAGTGTTTCGCCCTGCTCTTCGACAGGTTGTGATTCCATTTGTGAGCGGTCTGATTCGGAAAAACCCGTCGGCGGAATCGCTGGCGAGCCCGCGCGACGACAAGCATCTGTCCTCCACCAAGAGGCGATCGCTCCCGCTCCGTCAGGGAACGATTCACGATGGGAGTTTGAAAAGAAAGTTAGCCTGATGCATCAGCCAGTCTTGCGGCACACAGCTTGTTTGCCAGGTAGCTCTTGATCAACCGCAGTTGCGACTCAGTCCCCTTCTCATGGAGCATGCCGTCTGCATGAAGCCACACTTTGCGAGAGGCTCTGCAAGTCTGCAAGTAAGGCCCGGTGTCCAGTGGCTTGGCATGTGCCCTCGCAACCGCAGCCGAGGCTTTCCATGAAGAGCAATGGAGCTCTGAACCACATTGACAGGCAGAAGATGAAGGAGAGCGTGGAGGTAGTGCCTCGTCTGTGACCCGGGCGGCGACTTTCCGGTCTTTTCAGCCTTAGAAGCGAAGCAGCGCGAAGCAGCTCGAAGCAGGCACAGTCAAAGAGCCGCCCCATCAGTCGGCCCGCGGCGAAGATGCTCGAAGACGTGCAGCACTGCAGGCCTGGCAGCTGGGAGCTGGCAGTGCTTTTGGTGCAGTGCATTTTGAGTTCATTTCTCTGCCAAAGGACCTGCAGGGTATTCTCTCCAGAATCCAGAACAAGAGTGCTGTGGGATCTTTCTGGCGCCATCCTCATTCTGATCGATGTCTTCGTGTCGCCAGTATCCATTGCGTGGGAGCTGGAAGTGACTCCGAATAGTCGGGAAGCTCGACGTTGCAACAAATTTCCGTGAGCTTGGGTTTCGCTTGGGGCAGGTTTCTGTGTCTTTGAGTGCCTGTTTAGGGGCCTCTAATGACATGTGAATCTTGAAGAAAGAGTGTCTGGGATCTGGCGTCACTCTTCACCACTGCAAGCTTGTTGATACTGATACCCTTGACCGGATTTTCGCTTGTCCGTGTGTTTGTAAACAGACGCTGATTGACAGACGCTAGCCGCTAGTCGGCACACGATGGAATCTCAGGACGTCTCGCTTGCTCTTTTCGCATGGGCATCGCTGATTTTCTGGTCTCTGGACTCCAGTCTAGATGACAATCGGTGCCTGCAGCGAGCATCTCTGTAAGCGCAGCTCGCATCTTCAAGAGATGCGTCTTGGAAGGACATCGTCATGAACTTCAACACTGCATTCTACAGCAAGGGGCTTCTCCGGGTCCGACGGCGGGAAATAGCTCGTAATTATGCCTCAACATGGCTGCTGTTCGATGTGCACCCTGGCAATAGTTTAGCTTCTTGGTTGAGTCGCGCATTTCCTTTACCAAGCATGCCAGGGCAAGCCAGAGTGTCCAAAAAGCCAGAGAGTAGACAGCCCCGTGCAGAAAATGAGGCCAAGGGCGATTTCCAGCCAGAAGGTTCCAGTGCAGCGGTGCTCTGTACCGTTTCTATTTAGCGTGCACCAAGGGGCGTCGTCTCTCTGGACTTCTTTGGATTCGCGTCGGAGTCGCAAAGCAACGTCAGCTCCTTCCGAACTGCGCGCAGCTTGGCCCAAGTAGCATAGGGGCCTTAATAATTAGAATAGGGTTGGGGGTATCTTACATATACTATAATTTCAATAAAGGAGCGCCCAAAACCCTATTCTAATTATTAAGGCCCCCGCATTAGGAAAAGTCATGGCCGCTCTGAGCTTGAGCGCTTCGCAGCGCTTCTGAGGCATCCTGCGTGTTCTTCGGGCACTTCGAGTGATACGCATCGTCAAAGCTAGCAGGCTGAACGTGCTGGCCGAGAACATGGCCGACTCCTGAGCATAGGCTAGGGGTGGCGAAGCAACAGAGACTTATAAATTAGGCATAGTGGCGCCATGCTACGACACTGAGATGATCAGGTGATTGCGATTGGGAGACAATGGTTGATCATGGCATTTGGCATCTTGAGGACACTCTGACACGGATCAAGTTGTTCGCGCAGTTTCGCTTCGTTGTTGCCTGCTTTGCAGTTTTCTGGCTGCTGTCCGCACAGGATGCTCATAGAAATCTCCATGGTCGTGCATGCCCTCGCATGCGTTTGGTTCGGAGTGGGGGAAGCTCTTTCCTCCGACTCCCAGGCCAGGTGTGCGCCAAAGCCCGGGGAGACGAGATGTAGCGCAGACCATTCGATTGCAGTTTAACCTTCGGCTCGTGTGCACGCGGAAAGCTTTTCTGAACTTTGGGTGGGGCTTGCTTGCAACTCACGGCTGAGTTGAACAAATCACGTGCTTGTGTCCACCTTTGCGTGGCAGCTTGCCTGAAGCTTCGTCGGCCAGAAAGTACTTGCGCGCTAAAGCAGCCAAAGCTTCGAGTGACCGGTGTCACAGGTGACCAGCTGGACTGTACGGAACGATGTCCACGAGCAGCCGGCGTTGGTGCAATACATCCACGCCATGCAGTGGATCATCCAACCGCCATCTCCGGCACCTTGGCAGAGGAAAAGCACTGATTCCTGCCTCTGCCAGCTTCGGAAGCCCAAGGCCCCATTAGATCCGGCTAGCGGCTTGGAGCGCTTCATGCTCTTGGTCAATACGGCAGCTCAGCTGGAGCCTCCGCCTTGTCAGCGTCAGTAAGAGCAGACCCGCAGGTTGTGACGGTCCTGGTCATCGGAACTGCCTTGTCACTGCTGACGGGTACCATGCAGGACTCGGCCAAGCGGTGACAGACCGGCAAACCTCAATTCCAGCCCAAGCCAGTGGCCACCACACGCAGCGGAAAAGTCCACGATCCTACGATCCCCATAGAGCAAACACCCATGGAATTGTTTCGGCGGCCACTAGATCTGGGCATGCTGAGGTGAAAATTCCGTGAGCCATAAGCCGAGCAACGCTGGCCATTATTGTCTTGTTACAGCCATGCCGCTTTCCTTTCCAGCCCTGCCTCCCTTTGCTGCAAAGTGCTGTCGTCCAAGCGCTTCCGCAAAGTTATGTAGTCTTGCTTGATTGCTTGACTTAACCGAAGTGCAGAAGTTTCATAACTTGAAAGGGCTGATCTTCGAAGTCAACACTTTGCTGCAAGTGAGTCCGAGTCGATTCGAGCACCATATGCTGCTTGCAGGA